TAGCAGTAGCTGGGGCGGTAGAGCCCGCACCGCGTCTGAGCGGCAGTGTGGGGTTTTGGAGGCGGCGGTTGGGTGACGGCTGCTGCTGGCGACCGCTGGCTCGCGGCCCTGCCTTGGTGTTTGCCTTGGCGGGATGGCTGTTGTTATTGTTGTCGTTGTTGTTGTTGTCCCCCGGCGGGTGGTGCAGCTGGTGGTGGTGTTGCAGCAGTGTGCCGTTTAGCAGCACCAGTGTGGAGCGCTGGCTGAGGGACTGCCCCGGCCGCAGCACCCGCAGGGAGGCGGCCTTGATGCCCTGACGGACACCCTCCACGATCACCGCGGCCCGCTCCAGACACCTGACCGATCCAGGGGGGTGGGGGGAGGGCAGGGGGAGGGCAATGGCGCACGGACGGTCGTACGCAGAGGGTGGAAGCTCACTTCCTTCAAGTAATAACTCACCCCTGGGTGAAAATCTACAACTAGGCTCTGAGCCCCTAGTATCACACGCATGCTCAGATAGTTTGGAGCTCATGGAGAGCCGTACATTGGTAACATGGAAAATTTGATTTGTTTGATTATTATTAATTCCCGCATTCGCTTGTAAATGTGCGTCGTACCATGTGTGTCCCGTACCTGCGGCTGAGCTGCTCGTCCTCCGCCAGCGCCGCCGCAACCCGGCTAGATGCGCCAGCGCTGCTGCCGCTACTGCTGCTACTGCTACTGCTGCCGTCCCCACTGCCGGTGTCGTCCGATCCCTCCGACCCGGCGGCCTCCTCGCCCTCCACGTCAGCCCGACTCAGCTCGTCCTCATCGGCAGGTACGGCACCTCCCCCCGGTCCGGGGTTATTACACGTCATCAATCCCGCAGCTGGAGCGTCGTACACCTCGTCCAGTACGGCCTTTTGTTTTCGGCGCAGGCTTGTCGTTGCGACGGTTGTCGGGGCTTTCATCCTGCGGCGGAAGGGGGGAAGTCATGGGGGCTGATGTTCAGTGGTAGTGGCGAGGTACGTACGTACGTACGTATGTACGTACATACACGTACGAGTAGAGGAGGTTCAGTGGAGCTTCACCTGGCCTGCCGGCTCGAAAGGGGGGAAGAGGCAACACCAAGGAAACTGGCAGATCCCGCATGACGTGGCCCGGAATACGGCGTCGATCTCCCACTCTCCAACCAAACATGCAGACACAGACAAATACATACGTACATACATATGCACATCCACACGCTGCCTGTAGTTCGTTCGTTTGCTTCCATGCACTCTGCCAATTAGGGCGCATAGTGCGGCTCTTCATGTGATGCCTCCCATTTCTACGTAAATCGCCACGCCCCTTCCTCTTCTCCTCCTACACCGGCCAGACACATGCAGCCCACCACTAACATCCCCCCTTCAAATCCTCTCCCCCAGTCGGCACCGCCCCTCCGCCCATTCCCGCCGTAAACGGCTTTACCCTTCTCCCGCCACCGTAACAGATCCCTTCGGCTGCCCCTTCCTCTACCGCCCTAAAACCTTAAGTAAAACCCTGAGTAAACCCCTAAAGCGCACCTGTCCGGCGACTCCCCCCCCTGCGGCTGCCCCACCAGCAGCTCTCTCAGCCGCGCCGCCCTGCCCCTCCCGCCGCCCCCCCGGGCCGCATGAGCCACCACCCCCGTCAGCAGTGCCGCGATGTGGGTCACCAGAGGGGTGCGCTGCCGCTCCAGCACGTGGCCGCCCACCAGGCTGGAGCCGGCGGGGGGGGGGCACAGGATGGCGGTTAGGGGGAAGCATGGGTCGAGGAGGAGGAGGACATAACTAGATGATGGTGATGATGATGATGGTGATGGTGATGATGGTGATGATGATGATGATGATGCTGATGATGCTGATGCTGATGATGGTGATGGTGATGATGGTGATGGTGATGATGGTGATGATGGTGATGATGGTGATGATGGTGATGGTGATGATGGTGATGATGGTGATGGTGATGTGGAGGGGGGGGAGGAAGATAAACGAAAATTAGAAGGCCAAGAGAGGGGGATCGGACCTCCATGCCATTTGAAAAAACCTAAAAACCGCTAAAACCAAACCTAAAATCAGCCCCAAACCCCGAATTCCCCCAGGGTAAGGTAGCAACCAATTTATGAGCCTTTTCTCCGACAGCTTGCGGGGGTTAGAGCGGGGGCCCGTCCCCTCCCCCTCCATCACCCTATCACACCCCTTCCCCCTCCCCCTCCCCCCTGCCCCCTCCCCCCTCCCCCCCGCCCCCTCCCCCCTCCCCCCCTTGCATCAGCACCCACCGGTACATGTTGAGTAGGAGTAGCTGGAAGGGCTCCCAGCCCGCAGCAGCCCGCGCTCGTACAGTCGCCACCGCCGCCGGCGGCAGCGCAAACACCACCGGGCCCTTGCCCAGGGTGTTCCCCTCCGCCACCGCCGCCGCCACTGCCATACCCGGCACGTTCCGGCCCAGTAGTGCCGTACTCATACCCACGACACCGCCCACACCCACATAGAACTGGGGAGTGGATGTTAGGGGGCTGTGTGCGGTTGCGGAGGTGGTGGTGTGGGGATGCTCGGTTGCGGAGGTGGGAGGCCCCTGAGGAGGCGGAGGGAGGCTGGGGCCGGTGACGTTGGGGCGTGAGGCGGCGGCGGGGTGGCTGTCGGAAGGGAGGTGGGGGTGATGGTGGGGATGGGGGTGATGGCCGGGTTCGTGTGCTGCCGGCAGGAGCGAGACCTGCGTATATGTGGGTGTGGGGGTGTGGGGGTGTGGGGTGCGGGTGGGATTGATTATGGGTGTTATTTGTTGTGATGTTTGCCAGCGTAACTGTACGCCTGTGCTCAAAACGGAGTGGGAAACAAATTTGAAAACGGAGTAGGCAGCTCGAGCTGCGTGGCTTCTCTCTTTGTGCGTGTGTGCGTGTGTGTGTGTGTGTGTGCGGCCTTCTCGCTGTTTATTCTCCTTCATCATCAGACACACTATCTCCCGCCCCCTCCCCCTTTCCTTTCCACTAACAGATTCCCACCCCTTGTAACCCACTTGAACTCCACCTCACCTCTGCTACATCCTCCCCTGCACACATACACACACGTACATACATACATACATACATACACATACGTACATACATACATACACATACGTACATACATACACACACGTACATACAGACACACACGTACATACAGACACACACGTACATACAGACACACACGTACATACAAACACACACGTACATACATACACACACACACCCCAGCCCCCGGAGACCCACCCACCCGGACAGTCCCCATGACCACTATGAATATCCCCCCGTTAGCCAGCAGGGGGGTCAGGTCCGCGCCCCGGGCGGGGGCCCACAGGTCCCCCTCCGCCCGCAGCCAGTCCAGTACGGCAGGCGGCAGACCCCGCAGCAGCGCGCAGCTGGCCAGAACCTGACCGAGGGTGGGCTGCTGCCACCTGAGCTTCACCAACATCACGAAAGGGGTTGAGACAGAGGGAAGATGTGGACGAAGGCGGCGGAGGGGAACAAGGAAAGACAGATATACATAGCTGGGTTGAGGGGGACACGGGGCTTACGGGCTTTGGGAGTTGGAAACGGATTGTGCGTGGATTACACACATGCATATTGTACATACAGACGTACATACAGATTCACGCTTTAAGGATTCTTAGGGTTTTAGATACATACATGCTTACATGCAGCGCTGCCCTCCCCGCGACCCCCCCTGTCCCCCGGTCACCTGGGCCCCCGCGCCTCCAGCCTCCAGATCCGCCTCTCCACAGGCTCCATCAGCGCCTCCGCCTCGTCGCCGTCCACCAGCCCGCTCTTCAACATGGAGCGAACGAACGCCACCTGCTGGCGTAGCAGCGCTAGGGCGGCTCGGTGGCTCTGAGTCGCCTGGGGGGGCCCCAGGGGTAGGGGGGTGGGGGGCCCCAGGGGTAGGGGGGTGGGGGGCCCCAGGGGTAGGGGGGTGGGGGGGCCCCAGGGGTAGGGGGGTGGGGGGGCCCCAGGGGTAGGGGGGTGGGGGGGGTCAGAACTCGGAGCGTGTGGGAGGTGATGTGTTGTTGAGTGGGGGCTATTACCGGGAACCTTGCAATCCGCCTCCTCTTGCCCGCCTCCCCGCCTGCTGTCGCAACCGCTCTTCATTCGCAGGACGTCCATCTCACCATGTTGTTAGAATCATTTATAAGGTGGCAGTCAGACTGTCGGAAGGCCGTTTGGTGGCTGGATAACTAGCGCTTTTCCCAGCCGCAGCTGCTGTGCAGCTGCATCCTTTAAATTTAGGCAGCGGGCAGCTAGACACCCCAGCTGCCCATTCACAGCTATCAAAAGTACAGCAAATCTTTGAGGCAACGCCAATGGCGAGTATACATCGATATCGTATTTCAAAAGGATGCTCATTATGATTTTCGCATGAAGTGATTCGAATCTTTAATCACTAGTGAAGGGCGAAACACCTCTCTCCCCCCCCTTTAACCCCTTTTCCCTTTTCCCTCTTCCCCCTTTAACCCCTTCCCCCCCCCCTCCCCCTCCCCCCTCCCCCCACCTGAAATCTGTCGGGCGCCTCAATAACCCGGTCCAATATGAACCGCCTCACCGCCTCCCCCTGCAGCGCCACCTCCTCCCACACGGCCAGGCCGGCGGGGCCCGCGTACCGCAGCCACTGCAGCTGAGGGGAGCTGTCGGACAGAGCGGCAGCCAGCTCAACAGCTACCTGGGACCAGTAGCAGCAGCAGCAGTAGCAGAACAGTAGCAGCAGCAATGATAACAGCAGTAGCAACAGTAGCAGTAGTAGCAGTGGCAACAGTAGCAACAGTAGCAGTAGTAGCAGTGGCAACAGTAGCAACAGTAGCAGTAGTAGCAGCAGTAGCAATACAACCTGCAGCCCCCACCGGTGCTCACCTCCATAGCCACCAGCATCACCCGCGATAAGGAGCTGGATAACATCTGGGGCGGGAAGGGAAGGGGAGGGGCGGGAAAGACTAACCACGAACGAGTGAAGCTGCTACCAGGGCAAGAGGGGTGGCGGGGTGAGGGGGGGAGGGGAGGAACTACTACCCCGCACC